TGCCTAGTGTTAGAAATAATCAATTCTGAACGTTAAGTTCATAATTAAATAGAAAATACCGTTGCTGGACTTCAGATTCTGGCGGGGGATATACATATAACTCGCGTTTCATGTATAGGTTAATTCCAAATTTCGTTGGCGAATAATTTGCTTCCGTGCGCTTGAAGAATAGCGTATCAGCTTGTCCTAATTCTGTTTCTAATGTTAAGCGAAATGCGCAGAGTGTTAGGTTAAAAGAAGGATTAGTTGATCGGATAGACGAGTCAAAGGGCTGATGGCACTCCTGGCTTGTCCGCTTTCTTTAGGAATTATCGGCAATGAATGCTTGTTTCTCGTTAACGTGGGCCTTTTGAAATAATTGATTTTGTAAGAATACTGCTTTCTTTTTATTGGCTCGCAGCCTCAATCCGCCAATAGCAGATGAGGTGGCGGCCAATTTGCTACCATTGGTGGATCTATCAGGCCAGCCAATGAAAACTGAGAAGACAAATGACTGAAGAGGTTGGCAGAGAGGATGCAATGTTTTTCTTATTAGTAGGACTATTAAAATAAAGTCTTGAAGCGTTTTATACTGGTTTTTTGAATTTCTAGCAACTCGGCGCTATCCATATCATGTAAAAATTTCCGGAATTGACCCCCACCGCACCTTTCGCCTTATCTCCGCTATCCAACGGTCATCCGCTCATGAAAGAATGTATCTATTTCCTCCCGGAGGTCATCATTGACACACCGCTGTCATCTATTTATCCGTCATATCTCACCGTCACCGGCGATCCTGGCGCGGTAACTCTAGCAGCTCCGCCTAGAATCGGACGTAGACGCCTGAACGAAACGAACGAATGTACGCAATACGACCTTCACCTGAACGACTCGACGAACGTTTCGCTGGCGAGGCGGCGTAAACCATCATCAACACGCCAGCGGATAACGCAAGTCATCGTATATTATCGCCATTCACTGTAGTCGCATTAATTAATGGACGTAATTGCGGTCATTGTATTCATAGTATAAAGTTTTTCTCGTAAATGAAAGATTACTTTTACACCTTACTGGTTTTTGTCCTCTCATAAATTTGCTTCATTT